TAGACAAGATTTTAAAAGGTCCATGTGGTAGTTCCTTGTTGCTTATAGTGAAGTGCAAGAAAAAGGGAATGGACTTCAAAATGAAATGTGTAAAATGAAAACAGAATTGAAAAGATTTGGGAAATTTGGTTGTACAGACTAAGGCTGTGGTTACACAATCCTTTGTTAAAGCAGAATGAAACACTGCCCAATCCTGAGCCAACCTCACTATTGTTGCCATGCTTAAGCCCATTGATGCTGCCTCTTGGCCAATTCCTCTCGTTGGGGGTCTTCCTCTTTTTCTCTGACCCTCCACCTTACCAAACATGATATTCTTCTCCAGAAACTGGTTCCTCCTGACAATATGTCCCAAGCATGAGAGATGAAGTTTGGCCATCCTGGCCTCCAAGGAGCACTCTGGCTGCACTTCTTCCAACACAGATCTGTTGGTTCTTCTGGCAGACCAAGTTCTTCTGGCACTTTCAATATTCTCCTCCAACACCATAACTCAAAGGCATCAGTTCTTCTACAGTCTTCCTTATTCACTGCCCAGCTTTTGCATGCATATGAGGTTATTGAAAATACCATGGTTTGGGTCAGGCGCACCTTAGTCCTCAAGCTGACATCTTTGCTCTTCAACTCTTTAAAAAGGTCATGTGCAGCAGATTTGCCAAATGTAACATGTCCTTTAATATCCTGACTGCTGCTTCCATGAGTGTTAATAGTTGATCCAAGAAGAATGAAGTCCTTGACAACTTCAATCTTTTCTCTGTTGATAAGAATGTTGTTTATTGGTCCAGTGTCTTATTGGTCCAGTGGATCTAACTAAGTACCATAGCAGAAAACTCATCAGCTTAGACTGAAGGGGAGAAAGAACAGAAGATAAGAAAGCTGACTGCCTCTTGGGAATCTATAGGCAGGAAACAAGTCAAAGGAGTTACATTTGTTGTTCTCCAAGAAAAGTAAAGGATCATGAGCAATTTGGAGATCAGCAGAACTACTGAAAGGAGAAAGATGAGGCTTTCTGCTCCCGCAAAGATTTACAGCCTTGGAAACCCAGGGTCCAGGGCACATCACCACCACCACCACTGAAAGAAGCACAAGAAGCAGAGCATTCTTGGTTCATGGGGGAGGAGGGTGGGGCAGAGGGAGATGGTGGTGGGCAGAGGTGTGTCAGCAGTCTCCTGGATCGCAAAGAGTGGAGCCGCTGACTCTAGGTTTCAAGACTTCAGATATTCACTAGCTCAGTTGCAGTGTGTGGGACTGTTGTTCACAAGTGACAGGGGATGGGGCCGCTGCCAAAGGTGAGAAGGTAGTGTGGCCATGTCCAAAAGAATGACGCCTGACCAGGTGAAAGGGGTTGAGGATCACCATTCAGATAGACTAGGAGAATGTTGTTGTTGTTCAGTACCGTAGAGTCTGTTCCAACTCATAGTGACCCTGGAACAGGGTTACCAAGGAGCGGCTAGTGAGTGTGAACCACCAATCTTGCAGTTCAAACCGACCTTGCAGTCCAGTGCTTATCCTATAGCACCACACCAGGACTCCAGAGTGTGAGAATGGGGCTGCCTAAAACTGAGGATCATTACTTTATGACAGTGAGTTCATTCTTTTTAAAACTGAGAGATCTGAGTTGCCATCCCAGAGAGTCTGGAAAACAAAGCTGAAGTCCAGGACTGATGGGCCTCCACCCAGAATTCAGAGGGCATGACCACCACCCAGAATCTGGAGGGCAAAGTTATTGCCCAATGGTTTCAAAGAAGAGAGGATTCTTTTCAAATCTTGAGAGCTATTGTAAATTACCCTGCTGAGTTTTGGACTTGTTGGGTGCCTGCTATCCCTTCTTTCTCTCTAATTTCTCTCATTTGTAATGTAAACACCAGTGCTTGTTCCATCATTAGACTTTAAAAACAGATACCTTGTAGGATAGATTTCACAGGTTCACATATGAAGAGGAATTTTGTCCTGGGATGGAATGCAACTAAAGGTATACCCATATTTGATTTAGATGTCTCAGAATATGAGATTTTGGACTTGGAGATGATTTAAGATTTGGGGGACATTGTGATGGGGGTGAAATGTAATTTGCATGTGGGCAGGACATGAATTTGGGGGGATCAAAGGTAGAATGTAATGAATTGTGTCCTACAAAAATATATGCTATAGTAACCATAGCAATGAAATGATATATGATAGGATGAATGTAAAGCTACTGTTCTCCCGTGTAAACTATCACATAATTCACAATAAAACATTAAACAAAAAAACTGTAAATCCTAATCCCTAAATCTGTGGTTGTAGTCCATTTGGGAATGGATTGGCTTTGTTATGTTACTGAGACAGGAGTAGTATATTGTTAAATGCCATCGTCAGTTCCCACTCTTAGCAACCCTGTATAGGGTTTCCAAAGAGTGGCTGGTGAGTTTGAATCAGTGAGTTTGAATCGCCCACCTTGGGGTTCAAACCATCCAGCACATTAACCCACAGCGCCACACCAGGAATAGTAAGGTGGTTGTTGGTGGTTATGTGCTGTGGAGTTGGTTTTGTCTCAAAGAGACCCTGTAAATCTCTACGGAAGTAGAAAGTTTCATCTTTCTCCCATGGAACCACTGGTAGTTTTGAACTGCTGATTGTGAGATTAGCAGCCCAACTCGTAACCATAACCAATATGCTACCTGAGCTCCTAAAGAGTAGTATGTTGTTGTTGTTGTTGTTGTTATGTGCCGTGGAGTCGGGTCCGACTCATAGCGACCCTGCACAGGGTTTCCGAGGTTGTAAATCTTTACGGGAGCAGAAAGCCTCATCTTTCTCCCGCAGAACAGCTGGTAGTTTCGAACTGCTGACCGTGAGATTAGCATCCTGATTCTGTAACCACTATACTACCATTGGGGTCTTAAATCAATGTCTTCTGAGATATGAAAGAGATTAAACAAGCAAGAGGAGAAGCAGACCTGGGAGAAGATTGATGTCAAGCCACATGGAGCTCTAAGGAAGCAAGAAACAACATATGGATGGATCTTTGCTCAGAGCCAATGGAGAGAGAAAACCTTACCCTAAAGCTGGCGCTCTGAGTTTGGACTGTTAGCCTTAATCTTCTCAACTGAGAAATGTTTGTCAAGACCTCCCACTTATGACATTTTTGTTACAGTACAACTAAATACTTAAGACAACCTCCTTAAGCCTTTGCTCAAATCTCACCTTCCCAGTGAAGCCTATTCCGAGTACTGATTAAAAGTACAGCCTCTGCCCCTGGTTCCTTCTTACCCCTACTCTTGCTTTTTTCCCCACAATTCTTATCATTTTCTATAATTCGCTTATTCAGTGTGCTTTAGTACCATGCTTATGTAAACTCTAAACCAGGTAGGGATCTTTGTTTTGTTCACAGATATATACTAACCATCTAACATCTGTTGTTGAGTACTGTTGAGTTAATTTCTGACTCGTAGTGATTCTGTATAGGGTTTCTGAGGCTATAAATACAGGAGCAGAAAGCCTCATCTTTCTCCCATGGAGTGGCTGGTGGGTTTGAACTGTCAACTTTGTGTTTAGCAGTCCCATGCTTATTCTACAGTGCCACCAGATTTCCATATCTAATACCTAATTGTTGTTAAAGTGCCGTCATGTCGGTGCCAACTCATAGAGATTCTGTATAGGGTTTCCAAGGAGCAGCTGATGAGTTTGAACCACTGACCTTGTGGTCTTGTGGTTCAAACCGACTTTGTGGTCCAGTGCTTTATCCCATAGCGCTACACCAGAATTCCAACAAAAATCTGCTGTATCGGGGAATGAATAGAAAGATACACACATACAAAACGGTTAATAGTTGTAATGCCTAGAAAGGAAAACTAAGATATTGGAAGCAGGGATGGGAAGTACACACCCCTGTGCATGTTGTACCATGTGTTTATATTAACTGGTAAAATTGCAATAAAACATTTTAGCATGTGAGATGTGCCTGTTGGTTTCCAGCACCCTGAGACCAGAAGAATTAGAGGGTGCCTGGTTTCTATTTTCAACTGCTTGGAAAGGAAATCACATTAGAAGGTCCTGGAGTGGAAGAAAATGTGGAACAAAACTTATAATTATAAAACAGACCAGGCTTACTGGTCAGATGGAGGCTGGTGGAACCCCCACATTATAACCTTTGGTCACCCTTTAGGTCTGTAACTCGCCCCTGTGGCTCACTTTTCAGCCAAGCCATAAGATAGGTATATAAAGGGGACAATACTAGTGAGGTACACACACTATAGAAAGGTCAACCATTCAGATCAAAAGGGTAGCATTTACCTAAGGTCAAAATTCAGAAGGATTAGGAAAGTATGAGAGATGGAAACAAGAAACAGGGATAAGTGATGTTACACTGAGGGGTTGCAATTATTGAGATGAAGCAAACTGTATGATTGGTTGAACGTTAAAATCATGATCTGCTCTGTAAACCTTCACTCAATTCACAATAAAAAGTTAAAAAAACAAAACAAAACCAAACAATAGCATTTGTGAACTGGAGGGTCTGGAAATGGAAGTAACAACCTGGACCCAACCTTTTCATCTGACACACGATGGTCCCAGTGCAGAGAAGTTAGGTAACTTGCTCAAAGTCGTAGCCAGATTTAAACTTACATCTACTGACTCCAGAGTCCCCTCTTTTAATCACTATGGCCAGAGAGCTTTTGGATTTGAGGCTCTAATCAGCCAATTTAATGCTGTGTGATAGGAATGCTAAGTTGTATTGTCCCAAACTTGACATCCATTTGACATGCCATCACAATGAATTCCAAAAGATAGCCTGTTTTTTGGTATATAAGATTGGGGCTATATTGTGCATGACTTGATATAACTGGGGATATTGGGACCCAGGAATTTCTTATAAGGACTTCACTGTCAAATGGAAGCACAATGGTTTTGAACCCTGTACTTTCAGGTGCAGACACCCATAATTCTCCTTCAAAAGCAGACAAGAGGTACAGATGAGCTGCTAGGAATCGGGGAGTGGCAGAGGGAAGTGAGGGCACTTGGACAGGTCAAAGGGTAATGGGAGTGTTTCCAGGAGCTACTAAATGCAGGCTGCTGAACTTCCCAGACTGGGCTGTCTGGGAATGGAAGGCTCTCTGGGCTCGAACCAGGTGGCCGACCCTCCTACGCTGCTGCAGCCAGTAGAGCATCTCTACTTTGTCATGCTTCATCTTGTCCAGGTAGCGTCGCCCCTTAAAGGTCACTGGCTCATCAAAGATTGACTCGATTTCCCCCAGGAGACAAGCCAAGGAGGCCTCTACTTGGTTGAGCTTCCTCTGCAGACGGTTGCGGATTTGATTTTCCTCCAGCAGGCAACACGGGCTCCTGTCAGGCTTCTGGAAGAAGCGATTGGGATTGGAGGCTTGCCGCTCAAACCACTCCAGTTTCCCCAGCAGTATCTCCCGCAGCTGAATGGGCTGCAGGGCCTGCTCCCAGGCGCTCAGGAGAGCAGGTAGCTGCCTCAGACGGGCATTGGAGCTGTACTTGATGACCATGTCCAGTCGGTCCTTGTAAGGGACCTCAAGCATGGACCACAGCCGCTCCATACGATTCTGTAGGCTTGGGATCTTGTGGCATTCCCCCAGGAAGTTAAGCTCCGTAGTTCCCAGCCCATGCTGCAGCACGACGTTGCAATTCCACTCATCCGGCACAAAGTCCCAGGGCTCTTCCTCTTCTAGTAAGGGGGGAGGGTGCCGAAGCTCCAGGACCTCCTTGACAGGGGCCACCGGTTCCACAGGAACCGCCTCCTCATACATTTGGAATATGACATGGAGGAAATCGGTTTCCTGGGTGGTGAGGTATTTGAAATAGTCCTCCTCGGACAGGTTGGTTTTCCACCATGAGGCTTTGGTGGACCGCTGGTCCCAACTTTTCTTCACGTGGAGGGATGTGAGAGAAGACGCCTTGTTAGGGTTGAATGGTAACGTGCTGGCTCCCTGGCTAGAAGGATTCGCCAGCTCAGGGTTTATGATGTGACGCAGTTTTTCTTGACGGAGGAGGGCTGAGGACAGGAAGGCTGACCAGTCTGTATCAGCTACAGGCTCTATCAGGGGGCCCTGGTCAAAACGGAAGTGGCTCTTAGAGACACAGCTCATCAATTCCTTGTAGATCTCCCTGCTGCTACTGCCAACGGAGTGTTTGCAATCCATCTCTTCCATAAGTTTGGGCTCCAGTTCACCCGATAGGTGGTTGTACAGTACTCCAGCCCCCTCAACATAGAAGGAGTCCACAAAGTTCCTATCTGAGATTCGTACGGCAGCTGTCTCTACCACAAGCTGATTCCTTAGCTTCAGAGTTACGGTCACTGGCTGTGGGTGATGTGGAGAGGTCTCAGGGGGGTGGTGGTCCTGCTGATGAAAGGTTTCTTCCTCCTCCAGAGCCTTCAACATCCTCTGAAGCTCCCTCAGGCGATGCCCTGCAGTTGGATGGCGGGTCAGGGCCCCTAGGAGTGGGGGCAGGTCTGAGTCCAGTGATAGATAGTGAGGCCACTCCAATTTGAGTTTCTTCATCATCGTCTTCAGATCCTCAGCCACAGCGTCCCCTGCCAGCTCTGGCTTGCTCTCGGCAACTAGGACCAGTGGAGTTAAGGTACGAGGGGGGAGCGGGAGAAGGCCCAACTCATCTGCTAGCTTCCAGCCCTCTCGTAGACTGGGCATGGACTGGCTTCTTGGGAGCTGGGAGTGGCTGGGAAACTGGGTGGTGGGGGCGGTCTGGCTGGTGGGGGCCACCGTGCTGCTGGGAAGTGGCTCAATCTGTGAGGGAACCTGGTTCAAGTTTGTCTTCTTTAACGGGGAGGGTGGCCAGAGGAGAGTCTTCTTCTTCTTCAACTGGGGAATGGCTGTCAATTCTTTCAGCGGATCCGCTCCTGGCTCACCGAGGAACTCTGAAGGGCGGCTGAGGTGGATGAGGTAGTTCAGGTTGATGCTGGAGCATGGCACTTGGGCGAAGCCGATGCTGTGAGGCCAAGGGATAGGGCAGAGCTTAAAAGCCCGCATGGAGCTAAGGTGACTCGTCTTCACACGATTGTGGGCTCCATCTACTTTCAGAAGGGTTCGAAAGTCGGCGAGCAGGCTACGGTAGACGTCGGGGCCGGTGAGGAAGAGCGCGCAGTCTTTGGCGAGGCTGGCTGCCAAGCGGATGATGGTGGCTGGCTCGGTGAAGACCCCTGTGGGGGCCGACAGAGTCACCAGCAGGTGCAGGTAGCGTAAGAAGAGCTGTTCACTGCTTAGTAGCACGTGCGCCTCAAGCCGCTCCCGCAGCTTCTGGTTGTCTTGGTGGCTCAGACTAGGCTCGGCCGGAGGCTCCTGCCAGCTGCACTTCAGCTCGTTCAGGATGACCTCGGTGAGGCGGAGCCGGCCCTCGGGAAGTACCTGAGCTGCCAACCCGCTACGAGCCAGCCGCTCCGTTACCAGGCGGCACAGGGACTCCACCGTCAGCCGAGTGCTGGGCAAGGCCTGCAGCATCTGGACTTTCTGCAGGCGGTCCTTTTCTGCGGGGGTCACCCTGCGGGGGAAGAGGGACAGCGGCTGCAGCAACCGGTGGTAAAAGCTCTGAAGCGCGGTCTCCAGCTTTCGAGAATTCATCTTGGCGTCCGCGGAGGTCATCATCTGGCAGCCGGGAGGCTTGATCGTTACTAAGGCAACCGGAGGCGGAGCCGTCAGAGCGCGTGTGCGCTACCCACTGTGCGCCGCTCGGTGGACGTCAGGGGGGCAAGGCCTCGCGTACGCACGCACTAGGGGGCGGAGCGAAGGGTGGTTTCCGCGGAGTCGCTTCCCAGAGGCTGTGTTCACGGTTTGCGCTTTAAGACCTGTCCTGTGGCCGGTGACTAGGGTCCAGGATGGCGTCGGGTTCAGGGGACAGCGGGACCGCCTGCACGGTGAGATTCTCGGCCTCGTGTGGGAGTCTCGGCCTCTGGGGTAATCGTTAACTTGCCTGGAACCGGGAGTGATCTTGGGGCACGAACAGGGGCGGTTACCTAATAAGCAAGGTAAGCACAGGCCTACTTGTGCTTACTAATTTGTAGTGAACAGTTTCACATGGGTTTTGGTGAAAAATATGTGAAACTGTTCACTACAGATTTGCCAAAGGTAGCAGGACCCCAGACAGGGGAACTGGGGCGTGGGAACCCCCGTCCTGCTGCCCTGGAATGAGCATGAAGAGGAGTCACGTGGGTCATGACCCCCAGGACTTCGGGTGGCCATAGGAGAGGTGAAACAGGGTCAGGCAAACTCTGTCCCCAGCTCTCATCGACCCGTCCCTGCTGCCCCGTAGCTGGAGTTCGCTGTGCAAATGACGTGTCAGAGCTGCGTGGATGCGGTTCGCAAGTCCCTGCAGGGGGTGGCAGGTAAGAACACCATTACATTTTCTGTGGACAGCTGTCCCAAGGCCTCTAGGAAGGGCTAGACAGATTTCTTGCGCCAATTCAACTCCCATTTTACAGATGGCACAAACTGAGACCCAGAGAGAGGAAGAAAGGAATGTTCTCAGAGTCACACAGCTACCCAGAGGCGGAGCCTACAGTCAAGGCCTCACCTCTGTACCTGCTGAATGATTGGGTAACTGTTTACACTGCTTGCCCTAGTGTCCTAAACCTTAGGTCTAGGGTGACCATAGTCCTTCCTACAGAGGGAGATCTCTGAGAAGCAGTTCTTTCTTGGGAAACATCAATATCTTGACAAAGCAAACAGTGCCCCTGATTGTATACCATTGTAGGTGGCTCCTGGTTCCCCAAAGTTAGCTGGTCACAAGGTTACCTCAGGCTGGGAATGGGCTTCATGTGTACTGGCTCATCTAGTCATTCAGCAGACACCTAGCCCTGCTGTAGACCAGACCCTGGGGACTTTAGAAAGCTTGTTTCCAGACGTATCCAGCACAACCCCTTGTCTTCCAATAAAGATGAGCACGCAAGCACATTCACAGAATGCATCATAGAAGAGCAGCTTGAGGAGGGAGGGAAATGAGATGGGCTGGGAGGTTGACACGGTGGTGACGCTGGACAGCAGTATGTCTTAGTGGTTAGAGGCATGAGCTCTGGATTCAGATTCCCTCTTTGCTCCTTCACAGTGCTGTAACTCATGCACATTTCTTTTTGTGCGTCTGTACCTTCACCTTTTAGATAGGGATGCTCATACAACCTATCCTGGAGGACTTGTGGAGAGAAAATTAGTGAAGACATTTAGAAAAGTCTTTGGCATTCAAGAGCCCAAGAAATCTTAGGTATAATGAGAGGAGGGGTGTCTTGTTTCCTATTGCTGTTATTACTAAAATACCACAAGTGGGTCTATAACAAACAAATTTATTTTCTCAGTTTGTTGTTGTTATGTGCCGTGGAGTCAGTTCCGACTCATAGCAACCCTATGCAGGGTTTCCGAGGCTGTAAATCTTTAGGGAGCAGAACGCCTCCTCTTTCTCCTGTGAAACAGCTGGTAGTTTCGAACTGCTGACCTTGAGGTTCACAGCCCAATTTGTAACCACTGCGCTACCAGAGCTCCTTTTAGAAGTCCAAATTCAGAGTGCCAACTCGGGGCTCGGGGGGAAGAGCCTTTTCAGCTTATTGCCTGGTTCCTTGGAGATATCCATGGGGTTTGCTATCAGTTTCTCCCATTTCTGCTTTCCTAATCTCCTTTCATGGACTCCTGGTGTGGCTCTGCGGATCAGCCACAAGCCTCAGAAACCTTATACAGGGTCTCTATGAATCAGAACCAACTCAGTGGCACTTAACAAAAACAACAATCTCCTTTCATATTTTGTAAGAGATTGACTCAAAACACACCCTATATTAATCCTGCTTCCTTAACAAAAACAACCTATTCTCCAATGGTATTATAACCATAGGCACAGAGGTGAGGAATTACAATACATATTTTGGCAGGGGGCGGGGCACTATTCAATCCATTACAAAGGGCTTAAGTGGGTGATCTGGTTGGGGCAGGCATAGGAGACAGACTGAAGCTGGGTTTGCCTAGACTATGTTTTGAGATATTGAAGGTAGAGTATGACGAAGATTGACCCATTCCACTGATATGTGAAGTGTTCTGACGAGTTTTCCCAGGATATAAGGCCCTCTACTTCCTGTGCATGGGGTCGCTATGAGTCGGTTCCAACTCGATGGCACCTGACAACAACAACAACTTCCTGTCAAGTTGTCTGGTTGAAAGAGCTGACTGCTAGACAGTACACAAGGCAGTTTTCCAGCCTCAGCAGGCTTCTCAGGCACCAGATAAAGACTGCGACTGTGTGTTATCTGGTCTGAATAGCTAGAACAGCTTGGCTTTCTCTTGGGCTGGGCAGGAAGTCTTCAGTTTCCCAGAATGCACAGAGAGTGAGCAAGGGTGGCCCTGTAGGAGGCCTGAGGCCTTGGGGGTAAATGGGAGCAGCTTCAGCCCCAGGCTCAGCTTCTGGATTTCTCTGGGGCTTGTGCTCAGCCACACTCACTTCACCAGCTGCTCCTGAGCTGGGGAGCCAACCTTCTTGGTCAGGCTCAGGTCAAGAGTTCTGGAGGTACGTTGCAAGGAGCTTCCGACCTTTCCACTTGGGGGGCAGAGAATTAGCTCACATGTCCCCAGATCACATAAGAACTTCCTTTATGGATTCCTTGCTGCCTCTGTTGCCCCCCACCCCAATCTCTTTCCTGTATAAAAGCCAGACTAGTTTTTAAAATGATTCCTTAGGTAATGTTCTGGGAGGACAGAGAGGGGGGTCCCAGTCCAGCCTGGGGCAGCTTCTCACGGGCACTAGAGTGTTCAGGTGAAAAGCTCAGGCTTAGGTGCCAGTTCACAACTTAACTGCCGTGTGACTCTGAGCAGCTGCCTTAAATCTCTCTGTGCTTCAGTTTTCTTTTCTATAAAGTGGGGATAATACTACTCAGCTCCCAGGGTTCCTCTGAGTTTCAAATCAGTCAGTACAGGTACAGTTTTAGAAGAGGGCCTGGCCCATAGTGCTCCATGCTCTCTACCTCTTGTGATGGTGGTCAAAGTCTCTCCCACTCCCTCCTGGGTTTTTGTTGTTGTTGTTGTTGTTGTTACAGTTTTTTTGAGATATAGTTCCCATATCATACAATTACGGAGTCCTGGTGTGGCGCTGTGCGTTAATGCGCCAGACTGCAAAACCGTTTGAATTGCAAGGTTGGCAGTTCAGGCTCACCAGTTGCTCCTCAGAAACCCTATACAAGGTCGCTATGGGTTGGAACCAACTTGACAGCACTTCACAACAACAACAACCATACAATTCACCCATATTCACAGAGTTGTGCAAGTGTTGTTTGTTAAATGCTGATGAGTTGGTTCCAACTCATGGTGACCCTATATAGGGTTTCCAAGGCTTTAAATCTTCCAGGAAGCAGAAAGCCTCAACTTTCCCATGGAGCAGCCGGCAGGCTTGAACCTCAGACCTTGTGGTTCACAGTCCAGTGCTTATCATATGGGAACCCTTTGGCCTTAAGCCATCATCCCATCCCAAACACTCATAACCATCACTTCCAAGCTTATCCATGTCATAGCATGCATCCAAACTTCATTTCTATTTATGGATGAAATCATAGTCCATTGTATCCCCTAGTAGCATAAACAGTTAAATATTTGACTGCCAACCCAAAGGTTGGTGGTTCGAACCTACCCAGCAGCTTTGTGGGAGAAATACTTAGTGATCTACATTGTTGTTGTTGTTGTTAAGTACCGTGGAGTCGGTTCTGACTCATAGTGACCCTGCACAGGGTTTCCGAGACTGTAAATCTTTTCGGGAGTAGAAAGCCTCATCTTTCTCCTGCGGAACAGCTGGTAGTTTCAAACTACCGGCCTTGAGGTTTGCAGCCCAATTCGTAACCACTACGCTACCAATGATCTACATACATAAGGATTATAGCCTAGAAAACCGTGTTGGGCAGTTCTATTCTGTCAGATGGCTCTCTGTGAGTTGGAAATGACTCAGTGCCACCCCCAAAACAACACAATATGTTTAAATACATTTCGTTTATACATTTGGATAGTTTTTGCCTTTTGGCTATTCTGAATAATGCTGCTTCAAAAGTTATTGAACACTAACAGCCCCTCTCCAAAAAATGAGTGTGGTTACATATGTATGTATGTATGTATACATATGTGCGTATGGGTAATAATATATGCATACATAGATGTACCAGTATGAGTATGCATGCGTTATCTGAGTTCGAAGGCTTTGGACTGTAGACTGTAGCTTCAGACTGTGGGACAACTTGATCAATTGGCATAATATAGTTCCTCAAGCTGTGTTTTACCTCCTTGTTTGGTGAGTCATGTTTGGGGTCTTCAAAGCTTGTGAGCAGCCATCTAAAGACAACTATTGATCTTTTCTCATCTGGAGCAAAGAGAAAGAAAGAAACCGAAGACTCCAAGAAGAAATTAGTCTCTAGGCCTAGTAGCCTACCTGAGCTATGGCCTCATCCATCCTGAGACCAGAAGAACTAGATGGTGCCCGGTTACCACTAACCGCCGTTCTGATCCTGGCTGCAATAATAGATGGGTGCTGAAAGAATGGGAGGAAAAAGTGGAACAGAACTCAAATTTGAAAAAATCTAGATTCATTGGACCAATGAAACTAGGGACTCCCAGCGAGACAATTGTCCTGAGATACCCTTTCAACCTTGAGCCAAAGCTATCACCTGCTGTTACCTTAAAGTGAAATAGCAGAGTGGCTCATAAAGATTATAAGCTGGGAGAAGTGCATTTCTTTGGAAAAATCGTCTGTGTAAGACTGAATGGTTAACAGCCACTCCAAAGCAAAGATGAGAAGGTCAGGGCGCAGAGAAACAAGATCACCGGAAATGAACAGCCAAACTGGATTTCATGAGAATGTTGGCACATTGTGAAAAATGTAACCAATGCTACTGTACAATTTGTGTAGAAATTTCTTAAATGGAGACCTTGTTTTCTGTGTGAGCTCTCACCAAAAACACATTAAAATATTATTTAAAAACAAAAAGTTATGAACAATGCTTGGCACATGGTATAGATTCACAACGGTCCTGAGAGTGAAGTGGTGTTACCCCCACTTTATATGTAAAGAAACAGACTCTCTAAGATGTTAAGGGTCTTACTCAAGGCTACCCCGCCAGAAGGTGTGTAAGTCATCACCTGTTTCCTGCCATGGAAAGATTGGTGGAGGTGGGCTCTGTGGTCTGTTTCTTCCTTCCTTGCTCCCAGCATAGGACTGCCCAGCCCCGCTGCTGCCCACTGTTCTCTCTCCTCCCAGGTGTCCAGGGCGTGGAGGTGCAGTTGGAGAACCAGATGGTCTTGGTGGAGACCACCCTGCCCAGCCTGAAGGTGCAGGCCCTCCTGGAGGGCACAGGGCGGCAGGCTGTACTCAAGGGCATGGGCAGTGGTGTATTACGTGAGTGACCACTGAGGCCTTGGCCTTGGCCAGTCGGGGAGGGTGGTGGTCTGGATCTGGGGCTAATGTGTCCATAAATACAAATCTTGGGCTCTGGGCTGGAGTGGCTCTGGGGAAGACATGAAGGTTTTATGCAGGACAATGAAGGGTTGGGCTGGGTGAGCGAGTGAACCACCTGGGGGTCTGATGCCTTGCAGAGAATCTGGAAGCAGCAGTGGCCATTCTGGGAGGGCTTGGCCCCGTGCAGGGAGTGGTGCGCTTTCTGCAGCTGACCTCTGAGCGCTGTCTCATTGAGGGGACCATTGACGGCCTGGAACCTGGTCCCCATGGCCTCCACGTCCATCAGTTCGGAGATCTGACCAGCAATTGTGCCAGGTAAGTGATCAGGAATGTTCCTTAGAGCATCATCATTCTATGAGTCCGGAACCTGCTGTGCTCGCACGTTTCCACACTTGGTTCTGACCAGTGCGTGTGTACCACATATACATGCCCCATCTACCGACAAGGAAACTAAGATGTAAAATGCTTAGATGACTTGGCAAAGGCCCCAGAGCATATAATAGAGTTGGGATTTGAACACAAAATCTGAAGCTCTTGTTTCTAACCAACCACTGTATTGCCACGGAGATGGAATGCCTAGAAATGGGGAGGGGAGGTTCTTGTATCATGGTGTTTGTCATGTTGCATTGTTGACTTGTCTTTCATCCCTTGGACAGAATCTGGTTGAGGATAGAAACCATTTCTGATTCTTCTCAGTGTCCCCTTCCCAAAGCCCAGCACAGAGCAGACCTGTTTGTTAGATAGATGAGTGGATGGATGGGTAGATGAATATGAAAGAAACCTACTTCAGGCTGTAAATAAGCTCGGCTGGCTTGGGAGTTGCTGTTTCCCTGCCCACCTGGTACCTTCTTTTCTTAGCTGTGGGGACCACTTTAACCCTGATGGAGCATCTCACGGAGGCCCCCAGGACACTGAACGGGTAAGTGTTGGCCTGAACTGGGCTTGGGCCAAAAAGAGCTCCAAGGCCCCAAGGGCAGGCAACTCTTGGGGCTTTAGTTGGTGCTTCTTCTTTGGCCCTTTTTCAAATTCAGCTTAGAACCATTTGTTGACAATTCCTGTGATCCAGCCCTAGAGATACAACAGAGCCCACTGCTTGTCCCCCAGGAGACCACCAAGACTACCAGGGTGGCAGTGTTCAGGTACCTTTATAGGAGGGTGAAGAGGCCCTGGGAACCCAGAGCAAAGCCCTGCCCCTACCTGAGGGACAGAGAAATGGGAGAGACCTTGTTGAGAAGGTGTGGAAGTTACAGGTTTTGGCTAAACTCCAAAGTTCGTCTCTGAGGCTCTAATCCTGGGCTTGGCATTTCATTTCTCACCAAAGAATTTGGTTAGTCTTTAGAGTGCCCTGTTCTGCTTCAGTGATTCTCGCCTTAGCTGAGAACTTCTTACTCTCTTGCTGTTTTTGAATGCCCTCAAGTCGGTTCCAATTCTTAGAGACCATGCACAGGATAGTTAGTTGTGTCTGTCAATCTTTGCTGAAGCAGAAAGCCTCATCTTTCTCCTGTGGAGTTTCTCCTACAGGCCGCCTAGTTACTCAATATTTTGATTTAAGTTGACTTCTTAGTTATTTTATCTTTGTGTTTATTTTTGATCTTATCCTGGAAAGTTCTGTTTTGTTTTGTTTTTCCTTTAACACATTCCAAAGGAGAAAGGAGTGTCATGAAGCTCCAGGCCCCCATCATTCAACTATAATGGTCAGACCCTTGCCCCTTGACCATTACTTGGAAACAAATTAAGACATCATTTCATGTAATTAGGTACATTTGTTTTTTGAAATAAACTTGGTATTACTACAGAAAAGGGAAAGCCAGAACTTCTAACTATGTTGTTATTCTTAAGTGCCGTGGAGTCAGTTCTGACTCACAGAGACCCTGTATGGTGTTTCCAAGGCTTTTAAATTTTTGAGAGAGCGTAAAGCCTCGAACCTCAGATCTTGTGGTTCACAGTCCAGTGCTTATAGGAAGACAATTGCGCAATCAATCAATGAATCCCTGGTGTCGCAGTGGTTAGACACTCGGCGACTAACTGAATGGTGAGCGATCTGAACGCACTGCCCTCTGCGGGAGAGAGACGTGACAGTCAGCTTCTATAAAGATGGCAGTTTTGGAGACCCTGTGAGGCAGGTCTGCTTTTTCCACTACGATTGCTGTGAGTTGGAATCGACTTGAAGACAATGGGTATTTAAGGTCCTTCATAAAGAGCCTTGGTGGTGCAATGGGTAAGCACTCTGCTGCTAACGGAATGGTTGTAGATTTGAGCCCACTCAGCAGCTCTACAGGAAAAAGACCCCGTGTGAGCCGCTTCCATAATGTTTGCTATTGTTGTTGTTGTTGTTAAGTGCCTTGGAGTCGTTTCCAACTCATACAGATCCTGTGTGAGGGTTTCCAAGGAGCAACGGGCGAGTTTGAACCGCCGACCTTGCAGTTCAAACCAGCTTTGCAGTCCTGTGCATTATCCCACAGTGCTGTGTTGTTGTTGTTGTCGTTAAGTGCCATTGAGTCCGTTCAGACCCATAGTGACCCTGAACAGGGTTTCTGAGGCTGTAAATCTTTGTTGTTGTTATGTGCTGCGGAGTCGGTTCTGACTCACAGCGACACTGCAAAGAGTTTCTGAGGCTGTAAATCTTTACGGGAGCAGAAAGCCTCATCTTTCTCCCTCGGAGGGGCTGGTGGTTTCGAACTGCTGACCTTGCGGTTTGCAGCCCAATTTGTAACCACTACGCTACCAGAGCTCCTTTTCTAGCAAACCAGATGGAGCAGCTCTACGCTTTGTCACATGGGTGCACTGAGTCGGAATCCACTCAACCCAGTAACAACGACGCCTTCCATGGTACAATTAATGTGACAGTGGGCTCAGACATCCCAGCATTTCAACGGTTGTGAGGCTCGTGCAGGGCTGGGCAGTGTTTTGCTCTGTGAGACATGGTAAGTTGCTACCAGTTGGAGCGGACGACAGTGCTGTGTCTGACTCGCACTCAGAGATAGTATCAAGGCAGGTTTTTCCTAGTCTCAGGAAACGGGTCTCCTTACATTCTCCCAGTTCTCAGAGTCTAAGCAAATCTAGTTCAGGGTGCGTCTCGTCCACCGTCCAGCAACCAGGTTGCTCCTGTAAAGCCTTCCTTTCATAATACCTGAGATTTCTGTGGTGCTGCGGGTTAATGTGCTGGTCTGCAAAGTCGGTTTGAACCTCAAGTTCAAGCTCACCAGTTGCTCCTCGGAAACTCTATACAGAGTTGCTATGGGTCGGAACCAACTCAACAGCACTTAAAAACAACAACTTGACATGCCAGAGATTTTTCTAAATGGCTTTCTGTGTCTTCACTGACTTTCTCTCCACAATAATCCTCAGCGATATGTTCTATGAGCATCCCTGTCTAAAAGTTGAAGAAGCAGAGGCACAAAAAGTCCCTTTTATGGGACACAGTGCTATGAAATGACAAAGAGGAAACCGGAAGGGCTCTAACCTTAGGACACACTGCTGTCCCACAACGTCTAGTGTCCCCACTATGTCCACCTCCCAGCCCATCTCTTTATATTCCCTCCCCACACTACTCTTCTGTGAAGCTTTCTGTGAATGTGGAGGCAATGCTTGAGTGTTCATTTTTACCTGTTGTTGTTGTCTTTACCTGAGGGCTTGCTAAAGCCCCTGGGGCCTGGACCACAAGCAGGCCTGGATACCTGCTGAATGACTGATGAGCAGGCATGCAGGAAGCCCATTCCCAGCTTAGTGCCACCTACTGACCTGCTTGTTTTCATATTGCATCTCAATGAAAGTTTGCCACAGAACCAATGAAACCATGAAGTATGTGTTTTCAGTCCTCCCATAGTCTTAATTCACATTACTGAGTTTTTGGACATTTGAACCGATGTTTCTAGTCACCCTCTCTGGACAATGGAGAGGCGTTTCTGTGGTGCCCACTTGGCTGCAAATCAAACTACTCCAGCATTTATGGGCTTAAAGCAACCAATGATTACCACGTCACAGGTTCTGTGGGTCTAGAACCTGGGCCCAGCTTGGCTGTTGGCCTCTGATTCAGTGTCTTTCAGTCTGAACGCTGCAATCAAAGTGCCATCTGGGCTACAGTCATCTCAGGCCCCCCCCCACCCCCCGCAGGAGAGAATGTATCTTGGCTGGCCTTGTTTCTCACTGGCTGTTGGCCAAAGGCATTAGTCCTCTGCCTCGTAGGCCTCTCCCCAGGGCAGTTCACCAAGGCTTCTGTGAGCTACTACAGAAGTTTAGGATTGAAGCCACACTCTTTGTGTAAGCAAATGTTGGTACTGATGCTAAATCAAGCCCACAGGCAAAGGGAAGGGTTACATAGGGTGTGAATATGGACAGAGGAGCCCTGGGGCACAGTAGTTAAGCTCTTGGCTACTAACCAAAAGGTCAGCAGTTCCAACCCACCAGCCAGTCCGTTGGAGAAATCTAACAGTTGACTTCTGTAAAGGCTTTTGTTAGGTACTGCCATGTTGGTTCTCACAGACGAGTCATGTAGAACTCATGTACAGAACAAAACCCTGCCCGGCCCTGCACCATCCTCACAATTGTTACTATATTTGAGTCCATTCCTGCAGCCACTGTGTCACTTCATGTCATTAAGGTCTTTTCTACCGACTCTCCACTTTACCAAGCATGATGGTCTTCTCTAAGGACTGACTGGTCTTTGCTGATAGTATGTTCAAAGTACGATGAGACAAACCTTCTTCTTAGGAACATGTGAGCTGTACGTCTTCCAAGATCAATTTGTTGATTCTTCTGGTTGTTGTTGTTGTTAAGTGCTGTTGAGTCAATTCTGACTCATAGTGACCCTGTATAGGGTTTCTGAGGAGTGACTGGCAGGTTTAAACCATTGACCTTCTGGTTGGCAGTCCAGTGCTTATCCTGTAGCGCCACATCAGGACAATCAATGGTGTATTCAATATTCTTCACCAACATCATAAATTAATTCTTTGGTCTTCCTTCTTCATTGTCCAGCTTTGACATACGTTTGGGGTGAATGAAAATTGGGAACACTATGAGATTCTCACACTCTGACCAGTAGGGTCACTGTAGTCAGAATTTACTTAGCAGCTTGGGTTTGGTTTTGGTCTAGAATACGGTGAGGAGGAAGTGGAAGTCATAGAGACTCTACCTCAGTGAGCTCAGAAGATGAGCAGGTGAAGTGGGTGTGGATGAAATGGCTGAGCGCTAGAGGCCTGAGACAGTCAGGAGGGGGCACTAGGAGGTCTCCTGTGAATTGATGATGACCTGGCGGGCAGCAGGCCTCCTTTGTGACCTTGGCCTTCACCCTGCACCCACCCCTCTTGGAGCAGGAAGGAGTCAGCCACTGTACTGTGCCCCAGTCCTCAGTATAAACCCACCCCAAACCCACTGGTGTTGAGTTGATTCCAACTCATAGTGACCCTGCATGTTACAGTAGACCTGCTTCCTAGGGTTTCCGAGACTAGATCTTTCTGGAAGCAGACAGTTTCATTTTTCTCCCAAGGAATGGCTGGCGGGATTGAACCACCAACCTTGTGGTTAGCAACCCACTGTTTAACTCACTATGCCATCAGGGTGCCTAAGTCCTTGATTGAACGTGTAGGTGAGCGTACATGGCTGCCGTGATGACTAGCAGGTTCCTTTGGAATGGCAGTGTCTGGTTTTGCCCAGGTGGAAATGATTGCATTGTGGGGCTTTGCATCTGGACTTGGTTGCCCCTTGCCTGTTTCCTAGGTGGTTTTAAAGCTTTCTTTCCAGTTCTCCCCTCCCCACTCCCAGGCCTTCCCCTTCATATACGGTAGTAGAGATGCCCCTCCTGAAACCCTCTGTGGCATCATGGTGCCCTCGTCAGGACCCACCCCTGGCCCATCTATCTACATGACTCTATGATGGGGAGGACTCGAAGACCTGTGGCTCCTACCCTTGCTGCTGGGTTATCTCCCAGCCATCCTACCAGGCTCCCTCAGCCCAGCCCTGGAAACCTGGAAATACTCATCAAGACTCTGGATCACCTCCCCACCTTGGTCTTTCGGCCATTGAAGCCCCTGACACAGGGCGTTCTGAAATGCCCCAAGTGCAAGAGGAAGTGAAAGACAAGATCAAGTAGCATTTCTTGCTGCTCACCAGCCCCGACACGGACCTGCTTTGTGGCTTAGCAGGCACATCGGCTCTGGAGCTTGCATCTGCCCAAATTGTCAGGCTGGGGACAATTTATTATCACAGACATGGGTCTCTGTGGTTCACCAGCAAGGTCTCTCACCAAAAATACCCCAAAAAACCATACTAACTCCTGCACCTGTAACTAGTTGCTTCTACATCTTCTCCCCAACATGTGGTGAGTGTGGTCCTTGAGGCAGTGATTATTTATCCTGCCCCAACCCCACCAGTGCCTTGTTGCAGTCATTGTGCTCTACGGACATGGTTCCAACTCACAGCAACCCTAGAGGACAGAGTGGGACTGCCCCATAGGACTTCCTAGGCTGTAAGCTTTATGGGGAGTCCTGTGGGGGCAGTGTAGGATAAGCACTGGACTGCTAACCACAAGGTCGATAGTTCAAACTCACCAGTCACTCTTCAGAAACCCTATACAGGGTCATTATAAGTCAGAACCTACTCAACGACACTTAACAACAACAACAGCGGTCTTTATGGAGTAAGGGGCCCTGGTGGCACAGTGGTGAAGCACTCACCTGCTAATCACAAGGTCTGTGGTTCAAATTGACCAGCTACTCTGAGGGAGTATGTGGCAGTCTACTTTAGTAAATATTACAGGCTTGCTTGAAACCATAGTCTTGGGAGACACCATAGTTAATTGGTATAACAGAATCCACAAAGACAATGTTCTATCATCCTACTTTGGTGAGTGACAACTGGGAACTTAAGATCTCATGAGCTGCCATTGAAGATAATAACTGTTGGTCTCTCCCTGTCCGGAGGAGAGAAGAGGATAAAAATTGAAGTTGCTTAGAAACAATTAGTCCAGTTGAACTAATGATCTACATGAATATTGGTCTGTATGCCCCTGAGACCAGTAGAACTAGATGGGGCCCAGTTACCACTACCAACTGCTCTGAAAGGAATGACATTAGGAGGTCTTGGGGAGTGTGGGAGAAAAATGAGGAGCAAAACTCAAAATCATAAAGACCAGGGTTACTAGTCAGATAGAGACTAGTGGAACCCTGACCCTTTGGTCATCCTCCAGGTCTCAGTTTTCAGCCAAGCAATAGACAGGAGGACCACTAGCACTAATGAGGGATGCACACCATAGAAGGGTCAACCATTGAAGATCAAAGGATGGAGGTGGGGTAGGCAATGAGGAAGTGGACTAGGTGATGTTGGCAATGAAGGGACTTTAATCATTGAGATGAAACCAAGTGTGTGATTTGGTGGATATAAAACTGATGATCTGCTCTTCTGCTCTGTAAACTGTCACTCAATTTACACTAAAAAGTTAAAAAAAGATTACAGCCTTGGAAACCTTCTGGGGCAGTTCCATAGGGTCAGTGTGAGCTCCGATGGTGGTGGCTTAATCTTTACAGGAACAGATTTCCAGGTCTTGGCTCCCTCAGGTTTGAACAACCAACCTTTTGGTTAGCAGCCAAGTATTTAACCACTGTGCTACCAAGGTGCCCTGCCCCAGTGCCTGACAGTGTTCATATAGGAGATGCTCAGTGGGTGTGTGCTAATGTTTTATATGTACTTCAGTGGGGAAGGTAGACAGAGCCAGCTTCCGGGGCAGGACAGGCCTTTTGCCCCTTGTTCTCTGCTCTTTGTGCCTTGAGGCCAGGAGTCGGGGAGATAATGCTAGTTGTCTGTGATAGTCTGGGAAGCCAACCTTGACCAACTTAAGCCCAAGAGAATGTACTGGTTGGTTTACAAGGGCTCACAGCTAACAGGAGGCTGGAGAGCTGGCTTAGAGAGAAGCAGGAATAGGCTGGGAAGACGGCCAAGCAACAGCCTCATTGGAGGAACAGCCTAGTCCTTGTTCAGCTTCCATCATTCTGCCTGGGAAAGGAGGGTCCAGTCTGCCTTGAGTACTGGACCACCCCTTGATCCTACCAGGCAATGCCCCTCAGGAGACTGGTACTTTCTGAAAGGGGACTCACTATGGGAAACTCGGAGAAAGCAGCCATGTCCCACCTTACCCTGCCCCACGGGGTCACATTTCAGCATCGTGGAGACCTTGGAAATGTCCATGCGGATGCTGATGGCCGTGCAGTCTTTAGGATGGAGGATGAGAAGCTGAAGGTATGGTGGGGAAGAAGGTGGGGGTCCTTGCTACCAGCCCACCTGTCTAAGGCATTGCGTTCCATTCAAAGGTGTGGGACGTGATTGGACGTAGCCTGGTGATTGATGAGGGAGAGGATGACCTGGGCCAAGGTAGCCACCCCTTATCCAAGGTTACTGGGAACTCAGGCGAGAGGTGAGTCATGCGCCCCAGCAGAAAGCTACCTGGACACGCTTAAGAGCCCTGAGGGACCCAGATGAGCCACCTCTGACCACATGTTCTCCTGCAGGTTGGCCTGTGGCATCATTGCACGCTCTGCTGGCCTGTTCCAGAACCCTAAGCAGATCTGTTCCTGCGATGGTCTCACCATCTGGGAAGAGCGGGGTCGGCCCATCGCTGGCAAGGGCCGAAAGGAGCCAGCCCAGCCCCCTGCTCACCTCTGAGCCTGTGTACTCTGCCCTTCTCAGCTGAGCAGCCGCCGCCATTTCCAGAAGGAACCCAGGGAAGACTCACTTGCCCAGCCCTGGGAAAATTGGATATGGGTGGGTAGGGTGGCTGGAACATTCCTTTGGAAAATTAAATCTTTATTTTCCTATGGGACTTTATGTTTTGACTCTGTTGCCGTGTCCGCTAATGGGTATGGTGAACAGAGTGTCTACTTTTGCCTGCCACATCTAAGTCCTACCCTATCTCTGAAGCCAAACAAACTTGATTCAAGTCCTCTTTGATTCCAGCAAGCAAGCTTGTATAATATGCATATCACCGGTGGTTAATGAGTCTTCCTCCCATCCTGAAGCTTCCTCATGCAGTAATTCACCTTCTCAGGTTATTTGCTTAGCATACAGACTAAATAAACATGGTGGAAGAATACAACTCTGATTTTAAAAATTCAATATCCCCTTGTTTGGTTTGAACAAACTGCCTCTTGGTCTGTTTACAGGTTCCTCATGAGCACAATTAAGTGTTCTGGAATTCTTTGCAATGTTATCCATTGTTAACTCCACACAATTAAAAGACTTTGCATAGTCAATAAAGCACAAGTAAACATCTTTCAGATACTCTCTGCTTTCAGTCAAGTTCCATCTGACTTCAGCATCCTTCATTCCACATCCTCTTCTGAGTCTTGCTTGAATTTTTGGCAGTTCACTGTACATGTAGTACTTTTTTTTTAATGTTTTATTGTGAATTATGTGATAGTTTACATGGGAGAACATTAGCTTTACATTCATCCTTTGTTGTTGTTGTCAGGTGCCATCGAGTCGGAACCGACTCATAGCGACCCCATGCACAGCAGAACGAAACAATGTCCGATCCTGGGCCAA